ATTTTTCCTGTGTACACATAAGCTACATGTTTCTGACTGCTATAAAAATCTTCCTCTTCTCCTCTGAATACATGCAGTGCATTTGTGTGTGTGTGTGTGTGTGTGTGTGTAAGCCAGGGCTGAGGATGTGTGTTAGTTTTGTCAGCAGTACTCGTGGCACTGTGCGCTATTCAAATGCTAATGCAGAATTCCCATTCCTCACAGGATTAGCCTGCACTCCTGTTTACCTAGCACGACTACTTCCTGTACAAGGCATGGTACTCACACACACACACACACACACACACACAGAAACGCTTATATGCAGGATCACACCCTCATCTGCATGTGCACACAGGAAAAAATTGTATTTCTTCCACAGAAGTGATAACGCACACACACGCACACACGCACACACACACACACACACGCACACACTGAGAAAGCCTTTGAAGCAGCATGGTTGGAGTGTGCCTGTGTCCTCAGGCAGGTTGGCAGGGGATCTTTATGGAGTTTCTGCCTTCAGAAGTCCAAACATGAGAGGAAACAATCTGTTGGTTCATTGAATACTGAATGGACACTCTGCCTCTCTGTGTGTGCTCCTCTCTCTCTCTCTCTCTCTCTCTCTCTCTCTCTCTCTATAATCGCTGAATGTCAGTTGTCCCAGTGCAGGTGCTTGTTCAGATTTCAGGCAGGATGTGCTATGTAAAGGAGCAGACATAAATAATAAGATAGAATTCAGTGAATTACAGTTATCACCGTTCAGTCTGCCTTAAGAGCATTGTTTCCAAAACCTTATCCGTGTGTCTCATCAGAGTGTTCCAAGTGTTGTGGTTGATTGGTGCCAGTGCTGCCTGCCACACTGCAAACACACCCAGACTGACTATTGGTTTGTTGTGTTTTGTTAGTTTGGTCTCTATGACTACCACAGCCCAGCTCCTCAGACTTTAACCTTTAAAAAAATCTGTCAGATCAGCCAAATGGTGCTTCTAATCAGGTAGTTTTCTATTTTATTTACTACATATCATAACAGCATCAATAAAAAGTAATGCCTTGAGTCCTCACCGCAGTGGCTCGTGTTCGATTCCACTCGTGGCCCTTTGCTGTATGCCATCCCCTCTCTCTCTTTTCCTTTCCTGACTCTCTCCAGCTGTCACTATCTAAATAAATCAGAAATGCAAAGAAAATGTGAAAATGAAAATGTGCACCGAGCCAGCCAAATATGTCGTGCCCGTCAGTCGTGATTTGAAAAAATAACACCTTGACACTGGCCCCATGTATTTAAATAGACGCTTTGGTCCCTGTTGGACTTTTGGGAGGTCAAACGTTTGACCTGATTTCAGTTTCAAAGGGATCAGTTGATCTAAATGTTCAAATAGACTTCATTGTCCAGGTCTTTTTTAACTCATGACTGCCTGGTTTGTGCACATTTTCACACTCGTACTGCAAGTTCAGGCCTGTTGTGTTACTGTAATTATTATTAGTGGATATTACTGTAATACATACTGATGATTTATACCTTGTCTCTCTTTATGTCTACATACAGAGACATGTGCAGCAGCCAGCTAGTGTTAGCATTAACAGGGTTGGCTGTGTATTACATACATATTCATGGCTGTTTTTGATCAGTGGGTGATGATTTAAAGATTTTGCCTGTGAGTCAGTAATAATGACCGCCTCATTGCTACCATTCATCTTCATCACGATGGACAAGCTGATAACATAAGAGAGGTTTGATGGGCAGGCTCGGACCTGGATAAATCAGCCTCTGGTCAGATTTCCTGTACATCCTGTAAAATAGGAAAACACGGCTTAAGATTTTCAGCCACATTGAAATAATGTAATGTGGCCTGAAGCTGGCTGGTTGGCAGACATGAAAATTAAAATCTCTCACTGTCATTTCCTTCCCAGCATGTGTCAATGAGCAGGACTGTTCTGAGATTCATGCAAGGTGACTAAAATGGACTTTTAGAGAGCTCATACAGAGAGTTACAGTGTGAATAGATAAAATACAACCCAACTTTATTCTGTTCATCTGAATGCACCATTGTCTTAACTCATATATCTTTATTGCAACTTTCTTTGCAGCTCAATCTCTCTTTCTATTTCTTAGTTTTGGTCTCAGTTCCTCTCTCTCTCTGTCTCTCTCTCTCTCTCTCTCTCTCTCTCTCTTTCTCTCTCATGTCTTGAGGAAACAAGATCGATGCTCCAATCTGTGTGCTCGCCTGGTGTATTACAACGCCCAATCGCTCCACAATGTCACAAGGAAAACACACACACGCACACACACACACACGCACACACCCCCAATACCCTACACGACACATTTACACACACTTTTACACACGTTGCATGCACACACGCAGTTGAAATTATTCATTTCCCGTCATATGAAATGCAGTTATTGTTCCTTTCTCCTTCTCTCTCCCTATCAGGAGGTATTCACATGGACAAGAGGAGAGGGAAATGAGTTTTCAGAGCAGCTATAACCAGCTCCCAGGGAGGGAATAATAATAATAATGTTTTATATGAGGCTCTTTGTACAGCAGGGCCCACAGGTTGGCTAACTAGACTGGCCTCTGGCACCGGGGCCCTCATTTGTGAGACACACTGGGGAAATGAACCCGTCTGTGGTTCAACAACTACAGCGGCTGATAAATCACAAAAGTCACCTGCCAGTTTTGCTCTTTTGACAGTCAGAGTACATCAGTTTGGAGAAATGAAAGAAAATCCTACCAGATTCACTAATCTATCAGCTCAATGTTACACAGTGTTAAATGTTTATTAAGTGTTGATAGGATAGCTTAAATGGCAGTCCAGCCTTCTAAAACAATGTTAAACATTGTATTAACTTTAAAATTTCAAAGGTTATATATATATATATATGTATATATTAGCATTAAAACATGAACATAGCAGCAAACAACTATGTAAAGATATAGTCATGGTGTCCTGAGTAGAGACTGACATCATGCTCCCTCTGTGTGTGTTGTTATCACAGCCTGTCTCTATGTAGCCAGTCTGCTCCATGTGCAACTGAGCAGAGCTACTGAAACTGCTGTTTTCCCCATATACATTGGTGAATGGACCATTTATTTATTTATTGTTTCTGTCGACTTTGAATGAAGTGACTACTGCCCCAAGCTTAGGGATTTGGAACTATTGCTGAGGAACAGTGTAAAGGACCTGTGAACGTTAATCCTCATCTGAAGCCAACTAAATAACAAGAGTAGTCAGTTGGATGCTGGTAACAGTTTTTTCATGTTGCTTTGTACTGTGTTAGATTTATGGCTGTACATTTGCCGCTTTGGTCCGCCATCCTTGCCGGTACGTGTGCACTTGTGTGTGTTGCTGTTGTATGTAAATGTACTTTATAGACATGCCACAAAGGTAAAGGTATAACTACGTGTGAAAAAGAAATGGTCAAGCTGCAGGAATTGATTGTCTGCCATGTTGTGTAACTTTGATTACTGCGGTCGATTAAGTTAACCTAAAAATATCGTGCATAACTATTTTTCCCATCAAATAATCGAAATGTTAATTTGAGGGAAGAAATTAAACGTAGGAGTGAGAGAAAACTGCAGCAAAACCCACAATTTTGCAGGAGTGAATAGATCTATTTGTCATAGCAGAAAAAAACCACAGGTGGAACCAACAACATTAAGGACGGCTTTGTTCTGTTTAGGTGTCACTGTAAGTCATGCCAAGTCAACATGAACAATAGCATCAATGGGATGTAGCTGTTAGTAATGTAATTAATTCTACCGGCACTTTTTTTCCTGCTGGCCTACAGAGCATTCAGGAGGCCCTCATCATCTTAGAAGGTCGTCAACAAATGTATCCACATGTTCTATTTCTGGTGAATAACTGTAATGTTGACTACTAACAGAGCAAACTTCCTGCATTGTTTTTTTCATTGGTCAAATTCAGTGAATGATGGCCACTTGCTGAATATTGATAATATTAATGATTTGCTAATTTAATGAGTTAATAAGCATCACCGGAATGCCGCATTAGTGTCATTTTGTAGGGTATGTGTCTCTGCGCTTAAATGATCTCAGGTCCGTCCAAAGCATTTTTTTGGTCTCAAAGTTTCTCCCTGCCTCACTATTTGTTTGTTTGTTCAACAGTACAGAGAAACATAGTTAGGCTCTGTCCCTGTTTAGGCTTTTGACCGGTGAATGCAGCATTATGTGGAAGCACCCTGCAATCTACAGGTTAGACGTCTGAGGTTACCAGCAGCAACAGCAGCAGGTAGAGCTAAATGTTGTGAGTGCCCACTGAGGAGATGACTGATGGCTGAGTAAGTGAGGAGTTTTAGACACCAGCTTCAGTGATTTCATGTTTCCTTCCTCTGTGGCATTCAGCTAAATCAACAGTTATGATATCATACATAGACAGGCAATTTGCAATCAC